ATGGGCCTGCCCCCTTCTCTCTCCCGCCGTCCTCACCTGCAGCAGCATGTCCCCAGGCTCGATCCTGCCATCTGCCGCCACTGCCCCGCCCTTCATGATCGAGCCGATGTAGATGCCGCCGTCTCCTCGCTCATTGCTCTGCCCCACGATGGAGATGCCCAAGAAGTTGTACTTCTCTGACCGGGGAAGGAAGACAAGGCTAAGACCAGGAGTCCCCTCAGGGGAGCGGACAGGCCTGGAGGGAAATCTCCAGGGGTCCAACAGAGCCGCCGCCGCCACCTGAGGCCAGGTACACTACCTTTCAAGCTGGCCCCAGACTGGTGCCTGACCAACCTCTACCTAAAGGCCTCCCAGCAAGGAGATTCTCATGCCTACAAGAGCATCGGACGAGCCCTGCTGAGTCAGACCAGGGAGGGTCCATCTAGTCCAGCATCCTGACTCAGACAGTGGCCGACCGGTTCCTCTGGAGGGCCAGCAACAGGACAGAGAGGCCGAGGCCTTCCCCTGATAGGAACATCAGAAGAGCCCTGCTGGATCAGACCAGGAAGGGTCCATCTAGTCCAGCATCCTGTCTCACACAGGGGCCAGCCAGTTCCTCTGCAGGGCCAGCAACAGGGCAGAGAGGCCGAGGCCTTCCCCTGATAAGAACCTCAGAACAGCCCTGCTGGGTCAGACCAGTGAGGGTCCATCTAGTCCAGCATCCTGACTCACACAGGGGCCGACCGGTTCCTCTGGAGGGCCGGCAACAGAGCAGAGAGGCCGAGGCCTTCCCCTGATGCTGCCTCCTCCTGGCTCCAGGATTCAGAGGTTTAGTGCTTCTGAACGTGGAGGTTCCCCTCAGCCACCACGGCTAGTATCCACAGACAGATGTATCCTCCATCAATCTATCTAATCCCCTTTCAAAGCTCTTCATTCCTGTGTCCATCACTGCATCCTCTGGCCAAACTGTTAAGTAGCTCTAGAGAAGGATGAAAAGCTCACACCTGCTGGATGTGCCCCTGGGCCCTTGTCTCCTGGATCAGGGGTCCCCATCACGGTGCCCACAAAGTGTTTTCAGAAAGCGAGTGGGGTCCGCATGGGGGGGTTTTCCCTGCCTGATCTTCCCGCCCCTGGGCTCCTTACTGCTGGAGCGCTGCTCCGGAGCGCTCCGGCAGGAAATGACCCCTGGCCAGTGGAGACCTGATTATTATTGTTGTTGTTCAGTCGCACAGTTGAGTCCGACTCTTCGCGACCCCATGGACCAGATCACGCCAGGCCTTCCTGTCTTCCGCCATCCTCTGAAGTTTGCTCAATTTCATGTTTGTTGCATCTATGACACTGTCATACAGACCTGATTGGGTGGGCATATTAAAACAGCATTGTCTGAGCGGCAGCTTCAACCACAGTGTGGGTTTTATTCTTTCTTGCTCCTCTGTCTCAGTGTATTTTTAAAATCCGCATCCCCCCCAACACCCCCCCACACACTTCTCCCCCTGCAGGTCAGCTTCCTCTGTGCACGGATGTGCCTCCTGGACCAGCCATTCCATGGTAGGAATCCAAAACTACCTGCGGGCTCGAACCAGCTGGGGACCCCCCCTTTCCTGGATCTTATCATGCCCACCTGTGCCCCGCCCCCACTCCCAGACCTCCCTCTTTGGCACCTTCCACCCATCCCTCCCCCCCAGAGCAGCCATTCCCTTACCCATATTCAGGGTCACTGTGATGATGTTGAGCGACATGGTGGAGTCGGTGACGCTGCTGAAAGAAGAGGTCTGAAACGAGCGGGTAGGTGGGGGGAGGCAGGGAGAGACAATCTGCCGTGAGACCCCCTCTGGCCGCAGATGGAAGCTGCCATCCCCTCCACCCATGCTGCTTGGGCAGCCTCTTGGCTTGATGCCCCTCTAAGCCAACACCTCTGGCAGAAACCCATCCCTACCCGCTCGAGACGGGGCGGGCGCTGCTTCCGTCGCCTGCGGTGGCGCTTCAGGAGGCGGGAGGCGCTGCTCTGCTCGGTGGAGTTGCTGAACCTGCCAGGAGAAGAGAGAAATAAGGACTCATAAACAACGCTCCCTCTAAGCTGTGGAGTCTCGTGAGCCAAAACTCTACTTTGCGAGCTAGTGGCATTAAAGCTGTGAGGGAGAGATTTGGCTACTGCATAAATTAGTTGGCTCTGGAGCCATCCTTCCTGAGCCGAGACAGAAATGGGTGAGCCGGAGGCTAAAAAAACTGTGGCTCACACCAACTCAGCTTAGAGGGAACACTGCTCATAAACCGAAGCCTCACAGAAAAAATGAGACGTGCACTTTTGTCCTATCTAGCAAAGAAACAACAACCCAGAACTCCATCCTTCTTTTTACTTCAAAGACCATTCACTTCAGCGGGTCCGCACAGTCTCCTAGCTCTTCTCCTACTTTGGATGGCCTCCTTGGCATCGACCAGAACCCCAGCATTTGCCATCGCAGCCCCTCTCTGTGGCATGAACAGGTGGGGGGAGCCCCCCTCGTTGGAGAGCTCCCGGAGGCACTGCAAGCCAATGAGCTTCAGATGGGGCCATCGTGAGCCAGCGCTTCGGATGGGGTGTGAACAGAGGTGGGCGGGAAGTCTCGTTTTTTTAAAAAAATTGTTTTATCTCTTTTTTATCGGTTATGGTTTCCTTGACACCCTGAGCCAGGAAAAAAGCAGCTTACAAATACTTTAACCAATAAATGAGTATCCGGGTGCTGGTAACCAACCTCTCAGCACAAAGGCCAGGCAGGGAGACACAGGACAGCTCCCCCGGGACACAACATTCAGCAGGGTAAGCCTGGGCAAGCCCCCCACCCCCCCGCTCCCCTCCTGGGCTCATCCACAAATCCCATTCTGGGCCACTGATGCCTCGGACCCCAAGTCAGACTAGCCACAGCACCGCCTGCCCCAATCAGGAAGAGACTCGGGGGGCACAAAAAGGACAACGTCAGGATTCCCACCTCCAGAGAGTGCACAAGAAGCGTCAGAGACCGACCCACTTGCCTCACTTCAGAATCCTTCAAGTCCGTTAATCACAAATAAAAGGAACTTACTAAAAGAAGGAGCAATACAAACTGGCGCAAACTGCTAGAGTTTATGCAGCAAAACAAAATTGGAAACGCACTCCCCCTCTTTCCTCTTCCGGGTGACAGTGAGAGCCACAACATCCAGCCTTATTGTCATAGCAGAAGCCTCTATCACTTGGGGAACCTCAATACTACTCTCCTCCCTCCAGGTCTGAGATGTTCCTAGATGTCCAGGCCAATAGCTCTCTTGCCAGTTCACACCAAGTGCGGGAAGACGAGGCGGGGCTTTCTATAGGTGAACTCCTCCCACATCTCAAGGGAGACAAATTCACTCAACTCAATCAAAACTTGGGAGGGGAGAGAGTCCTTGGTTCCCAACATTCGCAAAGTTCCCTCTAAGCTGTGGAGTCTTGTGAGCAAAAATTCTACTTTGTGAGCTACTGGCATTAAAGGTGTGAGCAAGCGATTCGGCTGCAGCATCAATTAGTTTGCTCTGGAGCCATCCCTTCCCAAGCTAAGGCAAAAATGTGTGAGCCGGAGGCTAAAAAACTGTGAGCTAGCTCACACTAACTCAGCTTAGAGGGAACACTGGTACGGAGACACCCGGCAGCCTGAGAAACAGTCCCACGCATCACTGAGCAGCTTCGGTGGGAGGGCGGGGTAGAAATTTAATAAATAGAAGAAGAAGAAGAGAAGAAGAGATTGGATTTATACCCCGCCCTTTACTACCCAAAGGTGTCTCAGAGCGGCTTACAAACTCCTTTCCTTTCCCCTCCCCCCACAACAAACACCCTGTGAGGCAGGCGGGGCTGAGAGAGCTCTGACAGAAACTGTTCTTTTTCAAGGACAGCTCTTGTTAGAACTACGACTTGCCCAAGGTCATCCAGCCAGGTGCAAGTGGAGGAGTGGGGAATCAAACCCGGTTCTCCCAGATTAGGGTCCGCGCACTTCACCACTACACCAAACTGGCTCTCATAAAAATAAATACATTTACCCACGGCCAGGCAAAATCCTGCCTTGTACACCCCTTGGGATACTAAAGGAAGCACGACTCTCAGCCCACGGCCTGCAGCCATAGGAGACGCCATGTCAGTCTAGGGCCCGCGCCCATTACCTGCTCATGGCGTCATCGTCGTCAGAGTCACACAAACTAGTGGTTTCCAGTTCGCTGGTGAGCAGAGTGGAGGAGCTCTCGTAGCCAGCAAGGTGCCGCTCCAGCCGGGACTGTCCGTTCAGTCGGTGCCCACCTGGCACGGGGGGGAGGGTACTGTCAGGTGAATACCCAAATGACCCCACCCCCCTACCTCTCCAGCTTTGATTCCGTTTGCTGAAATCTTAGTCTTATCACACTGCTTATCAGGTGTCTCACTGTCACCCTTTTGGGGAGATCTGACAACTGTCGACTTAGGGCAACTGTTAGCAGCCCAGTTACAAGAGCTGCCCAATCTTTTGTCCACCCGAAAAGTGTGTGTGTGTGTGTGGGGAATCCTTGGATCAGAAAAACAAAGAGAGAATGAAGCGATGCTGTAATGATTCCTTGTTTTTGTGTGTGTGTGTGTGTCTCTTTAAAAGTTTGGTTGCATGGCTGTGGTAGATAGACTAGAGTGATTGAGAGAGGGAAGATTGAGAGAGGGAAGGTGAGGCCAAGGTGGCTGACCTGGAGAAGCAGAGACAGTCAGCTAGGCACACAGAAAAGACTCTCGGGGACTTGTTAGCTACGTCCTACTCTGGATCTGGCAGCCCTGCTGCTGTCAGGGAGCATGAGGGTCTAGGGGAAACAGGGCACCGTGCTGAGGATCAGTGAGAAAGAGAATGAGAGCTGAAAGCTGAATGTATAGGAACAAGTAAAGTAAAGTTTAAGTGAAGAAACGTTAAAGGAAAGTCTGAGTGTCATAACAAACTGGAGTGAAACAGTGAACATATATGGCATTAAGATAAATAAAGGTTACAAAGTTACATGAAAAGATCCCTGTCAGTGAGGGAAAAGATTGAATGTGATACCAAAGCAATTGTTCATCATTTACACATTACTATTTACATTGTACCACCCTCTTATTTAGTATTTATTTCAATAAATCCTCTTTTATTCAAGTTTATACCAGCTCTGAATGAAGTACTTCCCAGGACCACATAGTTCCTCGTAAGCCTTAAACTCGGTCTACCGAACCGGTAAGAGCAAAAGTAAACGCATAAAGGTTTGGAAATCCTTAAAATTTCCTGGTGGCAGCAGAATCTACCCAGTTAAACAAAATAAAGAGAACTTTTAAAGTGAAACTAATCCTCCCCAATAAGGAGGACGTCACAGATGCGTCCTTCGTTAAAAAATTAAGCAAACTAAATAACGGCAGGGTAAGAAACAAGCAAGAAGGAGCCTGGTTAATTCAGAGCATTCTCTTTGGTATTGTTTCAGGCTGACCCTACGCCTCGCATAGATCTCTCTTCCTCAAAACTACAGGCGTCGTTCACCAGGCTGAATCAAACTGAAGGCTGAAGTGAGGCTCTAAGACAGGGGTATCAAACTCATTTGTTATGAGGGCCGGATCTGACATAAATGAGGCCTTGTTGGGTCGGGCCATGCGTGTCATAAAAAGTGATGCCAGGTAGCGGAGATATAAACTTTATAAAGGACACAAACACAACGGGTTTTTTTTTTACTTAAAATAAAAACATGCTTAAAACATTAGCTCTGTCAGCTGCAAACCTACTTTTGATTTATTGACATTCACCACAGAAATCTCATGCTCAGAGTTCTGAGTCTGGGACCCAGGTGAAAACATGAAATGGCTGAGTGATTAAGAGAGTCTGGTGAAGCAAGCTATGATGCAGCAGTAAAACTGGAAGCAGGAGATGGCCAGTTCCACTGCGGGCTTGATGGAAGCCCTCTGGGGGCCTAATCCAGCCCCCGGGCTGCATGTTTGACACCCCTGCTCTAAGAGATCAAATTGGAAATCTTTGTTAGGGCTGGAAAGGCCAGCTGCAGCATTGCCCTATTGAATGTATTGACTCATACTGCAGAATCCTCCTTCACTTTCGGTAGGGAAATTTTTTTTTATAAAGTAAAATAAAATAAAAATAAAAGAATGCCGTCCCCCCACCAACTCACCTCCCTGCTCCATGCTCTCCCTGCGGCGCGGCCTCTCCCTCCTGAGCGACACCACCGACTCTGGCTCTGTTTCGTGGTCCAGATTCTCGCGACTGCCTGCAATGTTCGGACTGCAAAACCAGGGAACACCCTGTTGACGAACACTTTGCAGCAATCTCGGCTCAAGCTTCACAAGGAGGCCCCTTCCCAGAACCACTACGTGCAGTTGTCTCCAGGGGCCCTGAAATATTCCCCCCACAGATTTGAGGAAACAAATACGGCCGCTTTGTGTGGCTGAATCTCTTCCCCTCCTGACACCCCTGGGACGCATGGCCTGCACGGAAAGATGCCCCATATTCTGTCTCCCTTTACTCACTGGAAAGAAGGGGGCCGGGAATCCCCAATGCCGCTCGTCCGCTCCACGGGCAGCGGAGGAAGGGGTGGTGGAGGTGGTGAAGGTTCTGGCCGTACCTCTATGGGAGGGGGTGGAGGCAGAGGTTCAGGCTGAGGAGTCTCTGAAGACACAAGCTGTGTAGGAGGGGGGAAAAGGATAAGGTATACGTGAGCAGGATATGACCCCTTCCTGTCTTCCATCCTCACTCAAACTCATTTGGCACAGGAATGAGCGGACCCCCGAAGACTTCACGGCAACCCACTTACATCAAGACCTGGAAATGTAAGGAAACCGGTTGCTGGAAATGTCACACAATCCCGCAAAAGGGAAACAAATGCAACATAAACACCAGCTCCCTAGCTTACACCACAAAGGTGCAACATGGGGCTAAATGTAAGGGGCCAGAAACCTGCTGGGAACACAACTCTATGTCTCCAAAATAACGGAAGAGATCTACTGTCCGAGGCCATATTGGGCTACAGTAGAGCAGCTAGATCCAGTATCCAGTATCACCTTAAAGACCAACAAGATGCTAATTTTCAGGCTCCGAGAATTTCTCTCCTGCTTTAATCAAGCTGCTGTACAATGTTCATTATACCTTTGCATCCTGAGTCTCTTTGCAATACTGCCAGAAGCCATTTGCCGGTCGGCAATACTCCTTCCACCTTGTGACTAGGAAATACAGACTCAGGGATCTCCATTCCAACTTGTATCTGAAGGAGGGAGCTTTGGGTTTTTTTAGTTTTGTTGGTCTGTAAGGTGCCACTGGTTTTGAATCTAACTATCTCTCCCCCACTCCCAGGGCTAACTGAATCCGGCTGTCCAAGACGGAAAGCAGTCCTAAAGTCCTAAAGAGCAAAAAAACCCTTGAAAAAGAAGCTTTATAACACTGCCTGCCGTATTACGTTAGTATAAAAGCAGAACAGAAATATCATGTCAATTGCATGCAGCTAAAATAATACACAAGAAAACATCAGTATTTCTCATTTCCTTGACCCAAAAGCCAGTCATTCCTATTTTGCAAAACTGGTGTGGGTTTGTGTCCTCTTAATACGAACGAATAATGTCCACATTGCTATTAGGGAACGAGAGCCCAAACAAGGCTTGTGTCCGAGGCACTGTTATAGTAGCACCTAGAATTCTTCTTGCACTTTCTGTGAACAAAGCATATGGTCTTGTTGCAACATCCCTGTGAAGCAGGCCAGTATAGCTATCTTCCTATTTCAGATGCAGATCTGCACCTGAGGAAGAGCTCATCTCTGGCCATCTTTGAACCAGTGATCTCCTCGAACACAGTGAGGAGAACTCCACCCCTCCAGTGTACAAGCTACTGGATTTAGGGCCGGACAATGCAAGATCATTGCAAGCGTCCTGCACGGGGTAATGCCCGTTTTGTACCCAGGAAACGACCCTGCCGTTGAAGCAGGGGAGCTTGGCGTTGTCGTCTGAGATTTCCTCCTTCACGACCCTACAACAGAAAGAAAAAACAGCTATTGGCTACAGGACTTCTCAGGGACCAAACCACCACCACCACCCTGTGGCTGTCGGGGGCGGCTATACCAGCAGTGCACAGAAACCAGCCAGTGCTGGAGTGGGCCAGCCACGGGTGCAACAGCTAAGGGAGTGCCCCCACAAGGGCTGCTGTCCCCCAGGGGCAACCTGGGCATCTCCTGGAGTGATGATCCATCTCCGAATGACGGAGGTCCGTTTCCCCGGAGAAAACGGCGGCCGCTGTGGAGAGCGGACTCATCCTGCCGAGATCCCTCCCCGGCAATGTTCCCTCTAAGCTGAGTCGGTGTGAGCTAGCTCCCAGTTTTTTAGCCTCCGGCTCAGGCATTTTTTGCCTCGGCTCAGGAAGGGTGGCTCCAGAAGAGCAAACTACTTTTTGCAGAGCAGCCACATCGCTCGCTCCCAACTTGGAATGCCAGGAGCTCGCAAAGTAGATTTTTTGCTCACAAGACTCCACAGCTTAGAGGGAGCACTGCTCCCCGGGCTGCACCCCCGGGCCTGCAGGAGTCTCCCCACCGGGAGGTGGCGATTCGAGCCCCCAGTGCGGCCGAGACGCACAAGCGCGGGCAGGGCAGGGCAGGCCCGGCGCGTACCCGAAGTCCTGGTCCATGCTCTTGAAGAAGTACTTGGCGCCGGGGCGGGCCAGGGCGGCCTTGACGTGGCCGAGGGTGATGCGGTCGGCGGGCACCGGGATCTTGACCAGGTACGGCGTCTCCTCCTCGTCCAGGTGGTAGATCACCTTCGTCTCGCCCGCCGCCGCCGGCGGGGCCGCGCCCGGCCCGGAGGGGGCGGCCAGCGCCATGGCAACCGCGCGCGCCCAGCCCGGCGAGCGGGACCCGTGCGGGCGGACGCGAAAGAAAGCTTCGCGCGGGGAGAGGGGGGGGCGCGTCCCGGACGTCTCTCGGGCGCAAGAACGAAGGCGGCGGCGCCCCCTAGCGCGTCCTTACGTCATCGCGTAGCAACGTTACCAGCCGTCGGGAGGGAGCGGGGCGTGGGCCGCGTCACGTGACGAAGGGAAAAGGGGGCCCCTCAAGCGCGGCCAGCGACAGAAACGGCCGGGTCATGTGACAGCCGCGTTACGTGGATGAGTGAAAAAATGACGCACGCGCGGCGAGGGGCGGAGCACCGCCGTGGGGAAAAAAATAGACTTTCCTTTGTCCTGACGGGGACGGCCTCGTGTCACGTGAGAAACGGAAGTCCCGCCCACCGAGCACAGGAAATGCGAAAAGGGAAGAGAAAGAGGGTGAAACCGAGGACGGCGGAACTCTGCACGCGGTCAGAGGCCCCTGCTGCTCTTTGAGCCTCGGAGCGATCCCTGGAGGGGAGAGGCAACCCATTCAGCGTACGGAACTGCCCGCCACAACACGGAAGGATGGAAGGGCGCTAGGCCAAGAGCCCTGATGTCGGAGGCAGCACCGCCCAGACTGCGAGGCCTCCCATGCGGCTGCCAACCTCCAGGTGGGCTCGGGAGATCTGTAGTTGGAAATTAATTTCCAGTCTCCAGGGATCACTGGAGGAAATGGCAGCTCTAAAAGGTGGGGTCTAGGGTATCATACCCAGCTGACGTCCTTCCCCAAACCCCACCCCCTGATCTCCAGGAATTTCCCAACCTGGAATTGGCAACCTGTGGGGGGGGGGATGCTGACGGCAACCAAACTGCCATGCAGAGAAAGCCCTGTGGGCAGGGCAGGAATCATAGAGTTGGAAGGGACCTCCAGGGTCATCTAGTCCAACCCCCTGTACCATGCAGGAAATTCACAAATGCCTCCCCCACCACACCCACAGTGACCGCTATTCCACACCCAAAAGATGACAAAAACCCTCCAGGATTGCTTCCTGACCCCAAAGTGGCGATCAGCATTTCCCTGGGTGTGTAAAAAATTGTCACAAAAACGAAGCACTGAGGCAACCCTTCCTGCCCTCCCTCTCCTGATCTGCCCGAGGTTCCTTTCCTGATCAGAGTTGGCTCCCTTGAAGTTGGCCTTGCCCCTCACTTTCCCCTGCCTCTGAACACAGACAACTCACAGAATATTAATGAACATCACAGCCGTCTGTACAAACGCCAAAAGGGTCCACATCTTTTATTTACATTCAGAAACTCCGCCATGTACACCGCTGCAAATATTAGAGCAAAAGAGGGAATCGGGGAAGGGGACCTCAGAAACAAAATCCCCACAGATCAAAAGGCTAACCTGAAGTGGGGCACCGGTTGGGACGGAGAGGGAGGGCAACAGAACCAGAGCTCTGTGAACCAGGAACATCCTGGGGAGGGGAGTTTGTGGCAGTCTTCATTCGCCACCAAGCTCTCTAGCTCTCTGTCGGAACACCAGTACTTAGCCTCCCTGCTCTTCCAAATCACCAAGTCAGAAAACACATTGTCCTTTCTTATTTTGAGAACAGCAAAAAAAAAAAATCACATGGGGCTCCCTAGACTATCCCCCCCCCGAAAAAAAAAAAGTTTGCTTTTATACTAAAGTTTGCAGGAATTAACTCTTGGCAAGCAAAGTCTTCTGTCTCCTCCCCGATCTCTTTCCTAGGAGCATTTTAAAAAGCCAAAAAAACAAAAAAGCCTAAGGATTAATTTTTTAAAAAATGATATTTTCACCTGGATCCTGTCTCATCTCAACTAGTAACCCTAAGCATCTTTCAGCAATCGCACCCTGTGCCTTAGAGCCCTGCTTCTGGAGGAACGAGACAAATACTTTGAAGAGTTCAGAAGGGGAGGGGTGTGTACAAAAAGTTTACCAACAGGGAAACAGACAAAAATCCCTGCATGGGGGTGGGGGAGAACCTAACCTTTGCTTTCTGTCTATTTACAAGTGAGCTTTGCTGGGGAAGAGCTAGGGAAAAGAAGATACTTCTACCCCCAACACTTCTACTGTCCTTGCCCCCCTTCCCAGCATTATGTGCATCCCCAAGGTACAAAACAGGAACCGCTTTGTTGTCCAGTTTCACTCTCCTCAACCGTTTCAACCTGGCAATACCTTCCTCTCCGTCAGAGAATAGGGAGGTGGGCCAGGATCAACCCCCCCCAAGGGGGAGGGGTTTGAGGTGAGGGGTATGTAACTGCCAGGCAGCATCTGCTGATTTTTTTGAGGGTAGGACCCCCCCTCCCTTCAGCACTGGGTCTGTCACCAGCCCAAATACCCCGAGGAACCAAGGCTCATTTGGATACCAATCCAGAACAGACTCCCCACCCTGTCCAGTCTTTTGTCCCTCTGGGGTGGCAGTCCGGCCCAAAGCCATCCTCCCCTGACAGGCTAGGGCTCCCCGCTTCCCCTGGACGCAACGGCAGCTGCGGCTCCAGGAGCCGCTGGAGGGAGCAACGGGGGCGGCTGCTTTCGAGAGCTTTCTTTACACTTCTGGCAATAGAAGATGTCAGGAACGTTGGTCTTCTTGATCTTGGCGCACGAGAGGTGGATCCAGGTGCCACATTGGTTACACTCAATCATCGGCCGACCGGCAAATGGCTTCTGGCAGTAACAAGTGATGAGGTCCCATGAATCATCCCCTGGAGCAGCAGCAACCGGAAGGTGGAGAAGGAACAGAAGAGAGTCAGAAGTCAGCGCGTAACCAGGCCTGTGTCAATTCCATTCATCACTGAAGATGCTGAACACTTTTGGTATCTGTCACAAATTAATCAGCGCTAGAATGCCAGCTCTTGGTTTAGAGAAGAGAGTCAGCTCGTAACCAGTCAATTCCATTGATCACTGAGGATGCTGAACTTTTTTGGTATCTGTCACAAGGTGATCAGCGCTAGAATGCCAGCTCTTGGTTTCGTTTTCCCAGCTCCTCATTTTTAAGTTCCTAGCTCAGGGGTGTCAAACGTAAGGCCCGTCTAGGGCTCTTACCCAGCCTGCAAGCAACTGGTATGTATGGAAATATAATATGCTTCCCCTTTTATGGTATCCATTGAAAGAAACCTAGTCTTGCATCTGATTAAACACATATATTGGGGCTTTTCTGAGTTCCCCAGGAAATCAATTGCTTTTGTTTGTATTTTGAGTTAAAAAATAATATATTGTTAATTGGGTTTGCCGGTGTCCTTGATAAAGTTTATATCTCCAGTACTTGGCATTACATTTTATGGCACACATGGCCCGGCCCGACAAAGTGGCGTTTATGTCAGATCCGGCCCTCATGATGACTGAGTTTGACACCTGTGTCCTAGCTCTTGGGGAGGCAAATATAAGCTTGTGAATATAGTGGACCCTGAAAAACAGGGCGGCACTTAATTAGAAGCCTCGCAGTTGGGATACACACGTACTGCAGTGCTCTTTCACTGTTCCTGGGATTTCCCTGTGCCTAGAAAAAACATGAGCTATGAGCAACAAACTACAAATTTTTCGTAATCTGGATTTGACTCAGTGTATGCTGCAGCGTTGGAAGTGGCGGGGCTCATGCCTGGAACTGTGAGCAGAAAAGAAATTCTTAAAAGCCAGATGTCACTGAAGTCCAGCAGCTCTGTGATTAAAACCAATAGAGTAGGGGGGAAAGGGAAAAGAGAACTCTAACGGAGGAAGATGCAAAACTGTCACATGCCAGAAGTGCAAGTCAATCCACACTACCCATCAGACCAGGAGTCCCCAACTCTTTTGAGCCTGTGAGGACCTTTGGAGTTCAGACACAGCTGCAAAATGGCTTCCCTGGCTCACCATCAGTCAGCTGTGGTGGCACTTGCGGCCAAAGAAGGTTTTTAAACATCTGCACAGCCAATCAGAAGCCTTGCTGGGCGAAAGTCTCACCTGCTGCCCACTTTCTAAAAACACTTGGTGGATGCCAAGGAAGGGGTCAGTGGGCACCACAGTGGAGACCTCTGCATTCAAACAAGGCAGGCAGGCAGGCCACTGTAAGTGACAGTTTGGTGTAGTGGTTAAGTGTGCGGACTCTAATCTGGGAGAATCGGGTTTGATTCCCCACTCCTCCACTTGCAGCTGCTGGTGTGACCTTGGGTCAGTGACAAGCTCTGGCACAGCTGTCCTTGAAAAAGAGCAGTTTGTGTCAGAGCTCTCTCAGCCCCGCCCACCTCACAGGGTGTCTGTTGTGGGGAGGGGAAGGGAAAGGAGTTTGTAAACCGCTCTGAGACTCCAAGTGAAGGGCGGGGTACAAATCCAATCTCTTCTTTTTCTTCTTCTTCTTCAGGCCCACCAGTTGCTAGGATTCATGCTCTGACTCAAGAAACCCACCTATTATCTTCTTAAGAAAGTCAGATATCTACCGGCAGCATATTTGTTTCTCTTAAAAAGATGTCAAGTGCTTCACAGGGATTCCAGTGGCTTTTAACTAGACCACACCACATCCAGGCCCTGTACCAGAGCCACCAAGATATTACTAAACTTAAGAATGGCGCTCCATCCAGTGCGTGTCACTGGGGCACGGGACTGGAGGCACACAAAGACCTGAGATGGGGCATGTCTCTTAGTCACCCAGTCCCACTTTACACAGCCACATGGTAAAGCGAATTGAGGTGACACTCTGCGGGCACTCGATGACACAGGTCCTCCCCCCCCCCTTTGGCATTAAAAAGGGGTTCAGATGACTATGGGAAGGAAAGCAACAACTCATGGGCCGGACGCGCTCCCTGAACGCCTCACCTGATTCCACCATGATGTCCTCGTCCATCACCCGCATTTCACCTTCGCTGGAACTGCCGTCCCCGTCTTGGCTGGTCTCTGTGCTGATGCCCTCCTTCCCTTCTGTGTCCTCACCCTTAATGGGGAAACCGGCTGCCAAGAGCTCCGGGGGGGCCGTCGCGCTGCCCAGTGCCGTGGCCGCCCCCTCCTCCTCCCTGCCCGGCCGCAGGGCTGCCCCTGCCTGAGGCGTCGCCGCTGTCGCCGTCTCCTCCTCCTCCGAGTCCGTCTCACTCAGCGAAGCCTTGTGCTTCTTCTCTGAGCGCTCCGCCTTTTTCAACTTCCGCTTCTTGCTCTTTTTGATGCGTGAGCGCTTCTCCCCACCCGGGTCCCCCCGGCTCCGCTTGGGGCCCCCAGCCTCCAGGGCGGCTTTGCGGTTCCTCTTGTCCTTCTTTCTCTCGGCGTTCGCTTTGGGGCCCGCGAGCGGGGGCGGCTGCTTGCCCACAGGGTCCAAGTCAAAAAGGGAGTCCTTGAGTTTCATTTTCTCCAGCAGCGAGCTGTCCGATTTCAGGCGGCGGAAGGCCGCTTTCTTCTTCGAGGACTTGGCCTTCTTCACAAAGGTCTCAATGGTGTGCAGGTCTGAGTGGGTTGACTCCCAGCCGTCACTGTCCACCACGCTCTCCGGGCGGATGGGGGAGTTCGAGCCAGAGGGAGTCCAGTCATTCTCCTGCAAGGCAGACAGAGAAGGTCAGTCCCCAGGCTGCCCGGGGGAGCCCCCAAGACAGCACCCCTCCCGACTTCCAGACCGAGTAGCTCAATTACAGCTCCCCGGCGGCTCAGAGAACAGTTCCCTGGGACAGGATGGCTCGCCGGAGCTTTTAAGAGCAGCCCAAGCCCCGCCACAGGGCTTACGTTTTCACACACCAACCAGAGGGGACCGTAATCCCACAAGAAAATCGGCACATGTGGACACACACAAAAGATGATTAGAGATTAACCAAGATCAACCTTTGGCATGAAGATTAAAGGAGAAAGGACCATATTCCAAATGGCAGTGCCACACAGAGATCACGGGAAACCATCTCCCTAAAGCTCAGAGCTTGATTCCTAAAGCAAGAAAGAACTTGAAGGGGCGGGGGGAGACTCTGACTTGCCTGGGAGCCTCAAAATCTAGGGCTACCAACTGTGGGTGAGGAAAATCTGGGGGCGGAACTTTCACTGGGTCCATAATGCTGAAGAGTCCACCCTCCAAAGCAGTCATTATGTCCAGGGAAACGGATCTCTGCTGTCCAGAAGCCAGTTGTAATTCATGGAGGATTGCAACCCTATGCCTGTACGTTCTTAGAGCTGCTTTTTTGCTATTTGGCACCTCTTTAGCGTGAAACCTGGCAGGGGGAAAAATTCCCAGTGCTGCAACGAGGCCAGCAGACTCCAAAAAAGACCCTGGGGAGGGTCGAGTCAACAGGAGTAAAGAACCGCCCTGTGAACTACAACTCCCAAAATGCCCTCGGGAAAGTCTCCGAGCCCTAACTCGCCAAGGAGCAAGGACATGTCTGTCCCCCCCCCTTTGCTCCCAGAGTAGCCGACTACACTTCCCAGCATGCAGCGACCAAGCCCCAGGCTCCGAGCAAAATGGCCACGCCCCGGCGCAGTCTGGGAGGTGTAGTTTCCAAGGGTTCCGGAGCCAGAAAGCCAAAAAGGGCACCGAACTAAAAACACTCGAAAGGCGGCCGGGCGAGATCCGGAGCGCGCGGGAGAAGGGGAAGGGCCCTTGCCCTGCCCCCGGAGCACGCCGGCCTCCCCCTCCCTTCGAACCATGCGCCCGAGAAGCACCCCCCCCTCCCCAGCAC